TAAAATACAATTCCTCAAGATGTATTCCTACACATACTCCTCGCTGCTCCTTTTCAGGCCGCCGGCCCTTTCTTTCGTTTTGGCCACCTTTTCCTCCGTTTTTGTCAGCAGGTATCATAAACCTCAAGGCGTCCATCTTTTTGTTTACATTAAATCAACGCACTGCAGAGCAGGAGACACTCACACACTAAGGGAATCATGCCGGCATTATGCCATTACATTTGCATAATTATCATTATGTGTGTGGGCGTGGCTATGCGAGGCTTTTGGGACCACGCACACACCACTCACTTCGCTTTCTTGAGTAAATGTTTGCATTTATTTGCATTTCAACGGAGTCAAATAAATATGAAAGCTCAGCATTTGCGGGTGTACTTAAGTCTCAGGGAAAGCGCGTGCAAAAAAGCGATGGCAATCAGTGGGGGAGCAGCTCGTTCAACTTTAAATTGAATTCAAATTGAAAAACTTTCCTCCTCTGTCATATCCCTCGGGCATATCGATGGTCCTACTGCCAACTAGAGTCACCTGTTGCCCAAGGCCAAGCGACCTGCAGGCAGTCAACAGGTGCATCACGGATTCCGCGAACCCAACGGGGAGATATCGCCATCAAGGATACCAGTTTCACAGGACAACAGTAGTCCGAATAAAAGGATTTAGTCCTGCGTAGTTGCTTCTGCCTTTCTAATCTCGAGAAATTAAGAAATTGAACAAGCTGGAACCTGATTTAGAACAGTACTATGTACTATTTTCTTAAAGTATTTACTTTTGTTATAATATAATCCTGTATATAGCGAAGTCCGTAGTACCTATCTGTGCAATAGAGATGGCAAGCTTAGTTTGGAAAATGAATAAATTACCAAAACAAATGAACATTGACTAGACCTCAAGCGTGTGATACGATACATAATTTATTTCGTACTTTATTTCAAAAATCATATGTAAAAATTAAATTTTAGCTCAGCCATCTAATACGGTTTCTGTTCAGTTGAACAGCGATGGGGATTTGAGCAATTTTATTTTAAACTTGAGTGGTTGAGCTTATAATGAAGGTACTCGAGACTCTCAAGAACTGCAGTAAAAGGATATTTCTTGAAGATAATACAAGTAATAGAAAACGAAATGGGGGGCTTTTGTTCATTTTATGAGAGCCTTGAATCATCTGACAAGTCCGAAAGCAGCTTCATCGGGTGGATCGGTACCGCCCCATTGGACATCCCTCCCCCATGTTCTCAACCCACTGCTCAAGGTTATCATGGCGCTCATGGCGAGGGTACTAAAATGGAAAAGCCAAAAGCGACATCATGCCGCATTTTTCGCAAAGGAGCAATGTGAAATTTCCAATTAGGTAGCATCTGGTTCCAGTAACTCGCTCAGAAATTTCGATGACTCGAATGGGGGGCAAAGCCGAGATGCCCGAAATTGTGAGCTCGTCAGTGGGCCGGGGTCCGTCGAATGAAAATCAATGTCAATGCCTGAGCGCCAGCTGACAAGTCAGTTCTGTCCAGAGCCGCACCCTTTACTCCTCCAAGAGTCTAGACCTCGGCCTCGACCACTGGCGAAAATGAAATGGAGGCACACACGAGGGAGTTGGCAGGACGTCTCCGCACAGTCCACTTCGGACCTTCCTCCTGGCGTCACGGAAATTGGCCAGGACCTGGAAACATTCGAGCCCGAGGACTCACACACTCTGCAGCGTTTTCCGCAGCTTGGATTGGGTGCTGGGATTTTGGGGAAGAAGACAGAGCTGGTTTTTGGGAATCGGTGGGACGGTCAGAATACAGGAGCTGCAACTAAAACCGTAAAACAGCATAAATTTATAATTGGGACTGGCAAACACTGCACACTGAGCTTATCGGCAATTAGGGCTGCGTAAAACACTCTTCTGCAGGTACACGAAATTTGAATTAAAATTCAGTTTGCCGCTCACTCGTACACATTGTTCCCGTTCATTCTGAAACATTCGGGCGATTATCAAATTGGAAATGTTACAAATTTTTGCGGATTAACAGCGGCAATAAAGACTGAAGCCCCGCATGTTTTTGTGTCTGTGTGTGCAGCCGACCCGCAATGAAATTCACAATTCTAGCCACCCAACCACTGCCCTCGTTTTGCGCGCACACACACAGACACTTGTTGAAAATCATAAAAATTTTATGTACTTAAAATTTTCATAAAGCTGCCAAACAATGCCGAACATCAACAGTAATATCAACAGCAACACAACCGAAAAGCACACAAAAACAAAAGCAAATTATAAAAAATGTTAAAAACTTACCGCATGTTTGGGCTTCGTTGCGAGCAACAAACAAAAAAAAAATATTGACAAGCGAGCAATCAAATTTGTTTAAATGCATTTTTGCGTACTTCATTTTTTGGATTTCGGTTTCCGCTTGATATTTTGTTTTGTGGGACTGCAATAAAACAAAACAACCTCAGGAAAAATTTCAGACAAGGCAAAGGCAAACAATTGAGCGTAAAATCGGCAAAAATCCAAGCAAATGGAAACTGGAGATTTTATATAATGGAGTGAAGTCAAGATTAAGTGCTCGAGTACTTAAAAATAAAAGTAACAAGGACTAAAGCAATCCATTGGAAACAGTTAAATTAAACAAAGTAAAAATGAAAGAAGGCTCTTGATGATAGAATTACACTTTTCAGAACTACTTCAAAGTTTTCTGCAGACATCAATTCTCAAGTCAATACAACAATATTTATCGAAGAATATCCCCCAAAACTACAATGTCCTTTTAAAAATTAAATTTTCAGACTTTTTGGCCTCCTTTCGCTGGGCCGAACTTAGTGATAACTATTTGACTACATGTTGGCAGCTCGATATCGGTCGTAAATGGGCATTAACATGAACATTACGGCTAACTGCTGCCAGTGGAATTTCCGTCCGCATCGCAACAAGGTGTTCTTAATGGGATTATGTTGGTCGGGTTGGGGCAGCAGCCGATTCTTTGTCGCCACCAGGCACGATATATCCGAGGGTATTCTGGTGTTTTTTGGCAGGGTGCTGCCACAACTATCGTGCATCCACCGCATTAATCCCGATGGGGGAGGGGGGAGGCGGGAGGGGGGTGCGTGCGTGCCGATAACGAACTAGGTGCAAGTGGCATTCGCTAATTGTTGGCCGTGTTTTTGCTGACAATTCGCTTTCGGCCAAATAATTCATGCAAAACTCACGAAATTGTCACGCAACGAAGTTAAGAATACGGCGATGATGATGAGACGCTGTTAATTAATTAATTAGCCCCCGTCCAGCGGGGCGTGGCCGGTGGTTTCGTGATTTATGATAAGAGCGCTTTTCCCCCTCGCTCCCCTCGTTTCCCGTGTACTCTTTGCGATTTGGTGAAAATGATTTCCTCCTGGCTCCCAACACGCAAAAGTGACATTTTTATTGTTGGCGTTTTGCATGTCGTTGGGCGGGGAGGGGGCGGGAAAGGGGGCGGTCCGGGCGCTGTATCATCATTAGGCCAACTCATTTCTGTGCTGCGCAGCGTGGGACGCGTGCATCATGTTGCAAACAGCCAGATGGGCCTCCAAGTGGAGAGTGGGAAAGGGCGAGGGGACCTTAAGGTGGCCCATGTTGACGATGCTAATTAGCCTCCGCTCCGTCATTGTCCTCGGCATCAGCTGGCTACCCGGCGAGTGGGCCAAAGGACCTCTTGTCCTTGTGCTCCGCCTCCCGACAGCCAGGCAGACAGACAGTCGCACGGAAAAGCGAAAGTTTTCGGTGAAAGCGCTTTGGATGGCGAATTATCAGCGCCGAGTGTTTCGGGGTTTCTCCCATAATAATTTTTACTCAGAGTTACAAAAACGGACTCTGAATTTTTAGTGAAAAAACGTTTTTTAAATGCAGAAAGCGGGAATAATTCGTGGGCCACTTTTATATTTCATACTCCAATGGTTCAATAAAATAATATAATATATGGTTCTAACGGGTAAGTTGAAAGTCACTTTGAAAATAGGCATTATTATAATAAAATTGTAATAAATGTGTAGCTCACATTAATAAATGTCTTATTACAATATTAGGCAAATATTGGGCTGATTTAAAGATAAAGCTTTAAAGGTTCTTCTTCGTGTCTTATCGTCAAATGCAGAGTTTAGTTTATAGTTCATTCCCCAGGCGGCTCCATCCTTAGATGTTTCTGATGGATTGCCGATCAGAAGCTCTCTGCTAATCGCCGCTCCCATCTTTGGACACTCAATAATCCGCCAGTCAGCAGTTGTTCCCTTCTGATTCATGCCTGCCGGCTGTCCCGTTTTCGGATCCGTCCGCACCCAGCTCCATGGGGCAGGAATTTGTGTATTCGACGGCAACGGTGGTATTATCATCAATTCCAGTGTCTGGCAAGGTTGCCCCCACCTGCACCCCGCACCCCGTCCATTAGTGCCCAGCATCCCTCGTATTTCTTTCATCCAGTTGGTTGTCTTTAAAATATTTTCGGAGCAATGTTTCCATAAATACACAACACAAGGGAGGGGGAGGGGAGGCCGTCAAGGGAACAAGGGAGTCGAAAACAGGCACGCACCGAAATTCGGCTTGGTATGAGTGTTTATGTATCTGTGTGGGTGGCCGTAAGCAACAGTGAAGGAAGAATAAACAAAAGCTCTGCTCGGCTATTGTTTGCTTAGGCATACTCACTCTCCAACACACCCACACACACATATACACACACCAACACAGACACACAGCGAAAAAGAGTGACTGAAAATTCATAATTCCCTGAACCACACTGCGTATACGCAATGCTGCCAGCGCTTAAATCGCGTTGCGAGAAATTGTATGAATAATAAAAACCAAAATTGGCCTTCAAGTGAAACGAAATGAAATTAGACAAAAGTTCTGATGACTTTCCGCGGCCAGAGGAGCCAGCTGAACGACAGAACGGGGCCAGAGAAGTGGAGGACCAGCCGACAATTTGTCAATTGACGCGCACCCAGGCGCTGGCAGCTCCTTCCGCCCGACTGCCTCTCAATGCCAGGACACCAAGTCAATTTTCATAGACATTTTACTGCAGTCCATCATTTTGCCCCGCCCGCCCCCGTATCCTTTGGCACGGTCTTTAGAGCTTTTCGAGTCCATCTGGCTGGAATAAATACATTTGCCTTCATGGCAGGATCGCCGGCCCTTCCTCATTCGCCCGTCTAATCGAGGGCGCTCTGTGGACTCCGTTTCCATGGGGAATGGGTGGCGACATCAAAGAGTTGGGGATGGGCTCCAAGGGTCCAAGATTCCAAGGGGGCAGCTAGCAATCGGTGGTGGTGGCCAGGACTTCCAGCCGCTCCTCTGGCAGCTCCACGGCCTCTGGCTCCTCCGGATCCTCTGGTCGCCCAGCGGGGTCCTTCCGCTCCTCCTGGTCCTCCTTGGGGCGCACTGCGCTCTGGAGGCGACGCCTGGACTTGGTCCTAATGTCCTTGGCCCTGGAAGGACTCGCAGTCTCAGTCCGCGTCGGCGGCTGGGGCTCCGTGGCCTCGTAGGCACTCAGCCAGAGCAGGGTCGCCAGCGTGGTCATCAGGCCACCCATGATGGCCCACTCCCAGCGCTGGTAGAGATCGGCGGACACGCCCGCGTAGCGCCGCAGGACGAGCTGCAGCGCCAGGTGGAGGATGTGCTCCACGCTGCACCAGAGCCACAGGGCCAGGACCTCCATGACGGCCACGCCCAGCACCAGCTCGACGAGGAAGGCGGCCAGCCAGCCCATCCGCTGGCGGTAGCGCCTCGGCAGGACCTCCATGTCGTGCAGGAAGTGCAGGATGGCGCAGTAGGCGATGTGGCCCGCGTAGACGGTGCCCGGGATGACCGGGAAGCGCTCGATGTCCAGGAGACAGCTGCCGCGCATCCCGAAGTGCACGACGCTGGCGATCAGCAGTACCAGGGTGGAGGTCATCTTGCAGAGGAGTGCGCTCGAAATTTGGCTAGTGTACTCTGAATTTGTTTTGCGATCTTTTTTATTCTCTAAACCGGAATTTGAAAAGCCGAAAGGGTGTGTGTGTCAGCTCCAACGAAACGTTATGAATTACGTGTAGCTGGTTGACCAGCAAGTGAAATTCCGAGTACTTTAACCCGGTCTATGTGATCTGACCCAAAATAGACAAACCTTTATTTGGCTTAGAACGAAGTTCAGAGGTATTTTCAACAGATAAAAAGGTCTTTTTACTAATTCAATTCGGACACAGCCTAATCTCTAAGTAAGATTTTTTTGTAAGACCTTTAGTAAGAGGCGGATAACAATTGGCATTGATTAAGTCTTTACAACTTTTTTAAAATAGGTAGTAATGCGAGCTACTTTTCGTGTAAGGACTCATCATTTCCTAATTGTATTAAAAAACCTATGGAATAATTGGCTTTTGAGATTTAAAAATGTCAGGAAAAAGTCAAAGGCAACGTTAATCTTATTGTTCTTTCGAAGACTTAACACGCTGGCCGAAATCCGCGAGACAGGAGCCTCTGACCTGAGCTAATTCTGGGCTAAGTCATATTTCCAATTAATTGTAATTCGCTCTGGCGCAGACAATTTCCATGCATTTAGCAGTGCGCCAGGTCATTAGTTGACCCTCAGTCCTCCGCCCCGCCCCCCTAATCCCTTGTCACGCCCATTTATGTTCATAAATTATGCAGTCAACCTCTGATGCTCATTGACCCAAAGCATCCCCCCTCCCCTCTTTCCATCCACCCAGTGGGGCAGCTGTCGAAATGTTATTTCTTTCCTTTCTGCCGCTTTTTTTGTGTTGCCGGGCAGAGAAAACCTTTTGATCCCTTCCGGCTTAGCTGGGACTAAAAGTAGAGCACGACGAAAATAAAATTAAAAAACAGACAGCAGCGGGTGGGTTAATCGGGAGTAGGGTGGGCCTTTTATCGCCGGAGACAACTTTAAATTTATTGCAAAACCGAAGCGGACAAAAGCCAAGGCCAAGTCGAAGGCAAAATTATTTATTTGCCTATGATGTCGCTCCTTTTTCGGACATACAAACGTTTTTTTTCGGCCAAGGGGACATGCCGATTAGTTCGATTTGTATTCTATTCCGGGCAAAACAATATTTTGCTACAGTCTGGATCTCTGGGAGTTGGCTTTGATTAAAAGCGGCGTGGCAGATTGGTATGTACCCTCCTCCCCCTCCCCCTTCCATCCATTCCCCGACTATACTGCTTTGCCAGTCCATTGAAAGTTTTGTTTTCCCCACATCGACGCACGTACAATGGACTTGGGGCGCTGGGGAAGTAGAAGTCCCCTAAGAACGTTTGCTATTTGCTTATGTAGATTTCGACCAAACTTTCGCATTTATTCTGGACGCTGTTGTTGAGCAAACAATGTTGCAACAAAAGGGGTCACCAGATCGGGCCGATATGAAATATGAGATGTGGCCCCTTAGTCTCCTCTGCCATCCCGCTCCCTCCTCGACTCGGGCATTTTTATACGTATTTATGTTAAATTCATGATATTTAAATTAGTTAGCCAACAGTTTGTCCTTGGTCCCTCGTTGGCATGCCCTCGCCCTCGCCCCCGACCCCTGACCTTTGCCCTTTGGGGCCGGCGTACAAAGAACCACCCTGCTGCAGTGACCAAACATTCAATTATGAGGCCTCGAATCCGATTCTGACTCTGTGTCCCGGTGTCTCAGCCCCACTTTGGCTTTAGCCCTGGCTCTGGGTCTCTGTCTGAATCTGGCTCTGGCTCCGGCTCTCGGCTTAAGCTCATCTGCCATTAGCATTTCAAATGCCACGCATGGCAAGAGGCGAGGGGGGCGTCAAACTTTTACCATTTGCCTGCGAGCGGCAAACGACAAAAAGCAAGGCAAGCTGGCAAAAGTTTGCCATCATATATCTTGTCAGTGTGCGATGCATACGTTATCGGCGGCGCCCTTCTTTTCCCCCACTGCCCCGCCCCCTCTTCCCCCCTTCCCCCGTGCCGCAGTGGTCAAGTAAATGAGTTTTCCTGTGGCTTTTCCACTTTTGTTTTTGCGTGCTTTGCCATTTGACAGATCAAAGACCGACTAATACACAAGCAAACAAAACACACACTCGCACGGATCGGATGCCGCAACGGAAATGGATATTTAATTAAAGTTCTTGGCTTTGTCGTCGGCCTTTCTTTGTCTCCCGTTCGAATTTCCCCGATGGAAAATTGAAATTGCTTAATGTCCAAATGATGGCCACAAAACTCTTAAGCAAAGGTGTGCAAATATTTGTTTGAGCAGGTGTCGCATGTCGCTTAAGTCCCAAATCAATATCAAAGTGGATCTGCCTAAATTGATAATAGTGTTATTTTAATTATTTCACAAGAAAATAGAAAATATAACTGAAATTGTGAAAATATGTAGGACTAATGTTTGTGTTTAATACTTTAATCTTTTCTTACACTATTTCGGCACAAAGTAGCGGGTAAGAGTAATAGTTCAAAATATTAAAATGTTTGATATTTAAACTATATTTTATGAAGGCTTTCCTTCCTTTGAACCTACCAGAGTTCAGAGTGCGGACTGGAGGATTTCGGCATGGCGACGAACTTTATGACTTTTATCTTGGCTTGGAGTTCGAGTCACCTGAAAACGCCGAATTGTTGACCCTCTGCCCCTTTAAAAAACAAATTTCCGTTGCCACCCACTGACCATAGAGCCACCTCCAATCGCAGCACCTACCACCTCCAACTTTCCAGGGCTCATCAGTTGAGTTTTTAAACTGCCTCACGGCCAAATGCATAAATATTTCCACTGCCAGCCGGCCACGCCCACTTTTTGCCGCCTTTCGTGTCCGTGTTTTCCGCCACCACTTGAGTCCGCCTCCTGTTTCATGCACTTAAAAAGTCCAATTTCAAATGTATTTATTAAATAGTTAGGAATTAACGAATGACCGGAAATAGAAAAACAATTTAAACCGATTCGAAGACTTTTATTTAAATGAAATCTTACAATTTTCCTGAATTTGTAAGAGTATGAACATTCATTTAATGATTTAAGGATTAATTAAATTTTCGTTATAAAAAATGGTTGTTAAAAGCAATAAGAATAGCTCTTGATTTCCAATGGCATGTTTTAGAAGAATTTACTTTTGGAAAGTGATGCTTAAACTCAGTAATTTCACGACCTTTCCTCTTTAATTTGTTCGTTTCTGAATCTTCTGAGTGTACCAGCCACGTAAAAAACTTAAACAGGGGCATTTTTCATATAAATTTATTTGGGAGGCTGTCCATGTTGTCGACCCATGGAGAAACATAGGCGGGGCAAACAGACTGGGCGCTAAATTTGCATATTTGCAGCAAAGCAGCGCAACGCAAAAGTGTCATAAAAATTGTACATTTCAATGAATGGAAGTCAAAAAAGAACAAGAGCAGCGGTCATGGGAAGGGCCAGTTCTGGACAGCTAAATGAAAAGGCAATAAAAATGTTATACGGCAGCAAATGCCGTGACAAGAGATAGCAAACGACGTCCAGCCGGAATGTCGAAAATTTTGAAATGATTAAAGACCCAGCAAAGACACAATCTCTGTATCGGGCTTTAGGGACAAACATTTTTATTGTCAATTTCGTTGAGCTTTTGAAATTATTCAGCATACTAACTGAGTGGTGTGGTAGGGATTTGATGACGGGGCTCAGACTTTAACTACAAACAATTTTGTATCACTAACAAGCTTAAAAAAGAACGGAGCCAAAACCAAAATCATGAGTAATATATTGCCCTGTCCCATTTTCAGTTCTCTGAGTGTAGTCTCCTCCCGAGTACGATTTGTCACCCCCGACCACAGTAATCTCATTGTCAAACTATGTTAGGTTTGTTCTTGAAACCAGTTGATTCGCCCTGAACTTTCAAGAATACGATAATATTCAGAAGTCCTATTAAAAATTAAGAAGCCTAATTATAATTACCCGTTACTTCTAGAATAAATATTATTTGATGTGCAAATAAAAGTATACATTTGAATGAACATCTAAATAAGGATGGTGCCATTTAGACCCATTAAGGAATCACTAAAAACCCGTTAGTCACAGCAATATTTTTGCTTCGAATCAGGTTCCATCTACTCCTCGAATTCATGTTTACTCACGGAATGGAAATCCGCGATATATAAGCAGCCGGTCCTTCAGCGCTTATTTGGATGCCGTTTCCCGTGTTTTGTTTAATCATTTTCGCCGCGCACTCTAGTCGCAGTGTTCGCCGCCTTTCGACGGATTTTTGCATAATGAAATTGGGACACGGCGCACAAAGTGAGCTGCGATGCCGACATCATCGAGTTACAAATTCGTTTACGTTTACGTTCCCTTCTCTTTATTGCTCGCCGATGGCGGACAGAATATTCAGAAAACAGGAAAAACAACAGCCATGGCGCGCAAATTTTGTAGGTTTTTCTCACTTATTTTTCGGCTCTCGTTGGCTCTCGGGCTTTTGTTTTTCGTGGCAGATTGCGTCAGATATTAAATTTATTTACGCGAAATTCGCACGTTGGCTCTCTCATATTGCTCCGCCCCCGAGAAAGGCGGGGGCGTGGCAGGAGGTTCTGATACCCTAGCCGAGCACGAAAAGGCTTGTTTTGGGAAATTTCTCCAGTGACAGCCACATGATATAGAGCCAAAGTTTGTCTGCTTTCGAAATCCCTTTTCCGGGAACTTTTCTTCCAGAAAATTTCGTATTGATAAAAAGGCAATGGCAAGAGCTGCTTTTGATAGAATCTGACTTAATGAGCAAACATTATGGGCAGTGACGGAAAGAGTATGATGCACATGTGTCTACACTCGGAGAAAATCCTAGAACCCGAGATCGAATGGAGTATGCATAAAACACCGTCGACCTAAATCAATAGGTTGTTCGTAGCTTTAGTACAAAAAATGTATGGTAAGCCGAAAAAGATTTTTATTTAATTTTGGTAACATTTTAAATAACTGCGAAGGGTTTTCCTTGAAAATCACATGTGTACCTTACTATTGGCTTATTTGGTGCTGTTTTATAACTACATATATGTTATGTTCGGCTATGTAAAATGGCGAGTCTAAAGGCTTTAACGAACCACTTT